TCTCAATCTGGCATTTGGGTCTCTCAATCTGGCATTTGGGTCATTCAATATGGCATTTGGGTCATTCAAACTGGCATTTGGGTCGTTCAAACTGGCATTTGGGTCGTTCAAACTGGCATTTGGGTCAAAGCTGCTAAACAATTAGAATTAAATGTAACGATAGAAATTATTGCAATAATGCGTAATGCAATTGAAAAATTGAAAGAATCAAAAGAAAAAACGCGAATTCGTATCTTTTTCGATTCTAGAATATAAGAAAATTTGAATAAAATACGCGACGAGAATTGGGGAGAAGCATAAGTTAAACGCGTCAAAATATTCAATAATAAACGAACTAGGGATGAAGCTATTATTTCAATACGCGATGCACTGACTCTAGTATTTACTAAAATTCAAAAATTCTCGTATAAATTCCGAAAATAGATTATTAATTACGGTAAACTACTGAGACGGTTTAATTTAGGGTGGGCATAGTGCACTCGTTCCAAATCAGCTCACAATATACAATAATAAATCAACTAACTACTTAACATGCAATTCATGCAAATTCCTTGGATGGTAAATTATTAGTAAACAAAATTCAATATCAGAGAAAATATATGAAAAATTTCAAATTAATTTCAATTGCTGGAAGAAAAGTACATATTGATTGTTATGCTGTAACGAAAAAGCAACCTCTCAGTTATTTCAATATCCTATTCGACAAGTCTGAAGAAGAACGATGACTAAAATTCAAATGTTTATTTCCCTAAACCTTCAAAATAATTTCGAAATACTTTATTCGAATCGGAGTATTCCAAGTCAGTATCGCTAATTGAAGAAATTATTTGATTGTATTTAAAAGAACCGAAAGGAGAATATTTAAAGTCTGATATTAAATGTCTAGCAAGTACCAGTAATTGGTAAAATGATTTATATTTGTTTTAAAAGGAAAATTTCTAATAGGTATTAGTTAAAATGAATTGTTATTCAGTCTATTGTATTGAAATTCTAATTGATTCTAATGTATACAAGTGTTACAAGAAGGCTGAGTGTGTACAGGGTGGACATAGGCTAGCTAGTAGCCCCCGACCACTCTATTCACGTCTCAGAACCTTCAGGTCAAAATACGCCGCGAAGTGTCTATGGCCCAGTATAAAGGGTGAATAAATTCGCGGGACATCGGGGGGTCCCTATATACCTGCGGTACCCTCTCCCCAAAGTCATTAGCAAAATCGTCGGTTAGGTCAGGCGGGAAATTTTCGCGGGAAGTTTTCGCGGGAGATTTCCGTTACCGTAACACGGTATAATTTGTCAGTTTTCACAATTTTGTTATAAATTTATACTTCCGACAATTTGTTATAACATTGCATATACCAATTTATACGTTTTTACAATATTCTTCAATGGAAACATAGGTTTTAGCGTTCTCGTTACTTACTCGTGGTTAAATTAATTTCGTAGGGATTAAAAATCAGGTTGACCTGTGGTCGTAGATTAAAAATAACCATAGTACAGCTAAATTTATCGTGTTAAATAATTCTTTTTACACGAATCAAAAATGTATTCAATGTTTGTTTGTTATAATATCGTGAAATGAATTATATTACACATTTTCTCTATTCACACTGAATTTAAAGACTATAACGATTGAAAATCAAGTTGACCTGTGGTCATTTATCAAGAATAATCATAATAAAGCTGAAATTATTGTGTTAAATAATTTTTTTAATACGAATTAGGAATTTATTCAACGTTTGCTTGTTACAATACCATGAAATAAATTATATTATACGCTTTCTATATTTACATTAAATTTATCGTTCTATTTACATGTCATAACAATTATAACTACACGTTATGCTGCGTCCGTTTGTTTTTTCTGTGCAGTTCAACCTAATTTACTTAAATTTACGTTGCGAGACAGTATAATATTTACAATTCTGCCTGAATTTTTGAAATTCAGAAAAACACAGGTAAACTTCCATTGCATTTAAACGATATTCTCCACCAAACTGGACAAAGTACAGTAACACTTGTACTGTCACTAGTGGAAACGACCCTACATTTTACTGGCACTTGTGGAATCGACCCTACATTTTCTTTTTTTTTACGTGGATGTACATCGACCCTACATTTTATTGACACTTGTGGAATCGACCCTACATTTTTTTTTTTTTTACGTGGAGGTAGGCCGACTCTATGTGATAAACAATTGGCAACCAAACGGTGGCTCTCCCTCTACATTCAAAGGATAATGTGTACAGGTATTTAATGTAATTTTGTAGCAATTTCTTTTTGTAATTCATCCAAATATATTATGAAATTAAATTAATCGCTCAATAAGTTTTAACGTTAGATTGTTTCCTCGATAAGGCCATGGTGGTCATCGGTGACTGGAGTGCCTCAAATGTTTAGAATAATTAAAATAAAATGAATATCGTCAACTAAAAATTTCGAAGGCCATAGCTATCTAGACATTATTTTGAATTAAAATAAAAAATAAAGCACAATATAACACTATGCTTATAATAATGAAAATTTTCTTCCGGCTCCCAGAGCAAACCATGTAAATCTGTCGCGGCAGTGAACGCGTTAATAAGCAGAATTGAAAAAAGAATTTCTGCCTCCGTTTCGCCAGGAGAACACACACGTCAATTTACGATCGGCCGTCATTAACGACTCTCCTATTTTAAACGTTCGCCATTAAACCAAAATATCGCAGAGACAGCAAAATTGACAAGAAAGAAACTGTGACTGGAACGTTTCACCGTTTCATCGTGATCATTTCTCACGGATATTATCTACTCCATTTCGCTTTTTTTCGGAGAAAAAGAAGGAGTAACGACGGGGAGAGGTCTGTTTGAAAAATTACGCACCTTCAAAGCGATATTCCAGCTGGTACTTTCTCAAAGAGGAATTAATTATCGAGTGCTCCGTTTGTACGTTCCCAAGCCAATGAAAATGCGAGAGAAAAAGAAAGAAAGAAAAGTGTATCTGTATACATTGGTTATTTTTAAAGTTCATTTCTATCGCAATCTATTTGCTCAGAGAAGTCCTCTGATTGTTTATCCGGCAAATATTGGCCGATACATTTTCCCGGTAAAGCCGACCACGCGCACACTCTCCCACTCTCTATTTATCTATCTCTCTGTTTCTCTTTGTTTTGCGTGCATAGGAAATGCATTATGCGGCGGTTTGTCGGTAAGGTGCGGATCGGTTAGCCGACGCGCCGTGATTAGATAGTTGAAACAAAGTTAAACGGGACCGACAACCCGAGCCTGTTTAGTTCAGCTAACCGAACGTGTGTAGAACAGAAGCTCTTAGCACGCGTTAAACTCGGCTTTAATGTTTTGCTTGGCCGGCGAACCATTAAGATCTGCATACACGTATGCACTGCTGTTCGTAAGTATCGGGACACTTACGAGGCAAACGTAAACAGTCGTTACGGGATCCTTGAGATCCTGAGAGGAATCGTTCAGTCTGGAGTCTCGTCTAGTAACAAGTAAATATTCGGGTCAACGACACGAAACTTTGTTTATAAAAAAAATTATACGTTAAAATAGTTGCTTGCGCTTTGAAGACAATGCAGGCGCTTGGGTTTCCAGGACTTTCTTGGGGAAACATGTAGGATTCTTCTTTTATTTTCTCTTTTATTATTTTAGGCTTCTTTCATTTTCTATTCTATTTTAGGCTTCTTTTTATTTTTGCCGGTGTCCCACGTTATTATAGAGTGGAGCAACTTTGAAATACCGAAGTTTGCATCCTTGTTTTTTACACTTTTTTTTAACCTGCCCGATGTGTACCATTTTGGAGTAGAGTAATTTTTTTAGTTTTTCCTGTTTACAGAATATGTTTCCATATTTGTTTACCCGTTTCGTTTTGTCTCTGTGTATTTTCGAATTATTTTTCTAGCTTTGGAACTTTTGTTTTCTATGGATTTTTGTAAATAAACGTAGAACTTACCCGTCTGGAAATGGCAACAATTGTAAACGAAACACCGATGCCGAAATTGTAAGTTATTTCAGAGAGAGGAGATGAAAACTCGGAATTCTCCAAGGTAGAAATTTTTCGAGTGATTCTGGCAATCGAAACGTCGATACGAAGGTAGAAAATTTCGAAGAAGTTATACCGCTGCTAGAAAATTTAGAAAATTCCACTTGGTCCAACTTCACCAATCCAAAATTGCTTTTTACTTCTTTATTACTGTACTGTCAGAATATTAACCAATTATCAATTATTCCTTCTCTAATAAAAAATCGTAAAATCCTAATAAATCACTATGACAAATCCAAAATTTTTCTTTACTTCTTTATTACTATTCTATCACAATATTAACCAATTATCGATTCTTCCTTCTCCAACAAAAAATCGTGAAATCCTAATAAATCACAATGACCAATCCAGAATTTTTAAAATTTCCTTATTACTATACTATCGCAGTATTAACGAATTATCAATTCTCTCGTTCCCAACAAAAAATCGTAAAATCTCAATGACAATCCAGAATTTTAAAAATTTCTCTATTACTATACTATCACAATATTAACCAATGCTCGATTCTTCCTTCTCCAATCAAAATCCTAATAAATCACGATTATTCTTCCAGCGAACGGAGAAAAATCGGTTTAAAGGGAATCGAAGCTCGAAAAAGCTCGACCCTAAGTCGAGACGAGCCCGTGTGTCTCTAGGCGGCCGCCGTTTCGAAAGGGGCATATTTATAGTGTGTTCGTGTTTACTTAGAACTCACCTTGTAGAAGTAAAAAGAGTCGATCACGTCCGTCCCGTTGACATCGGTCTGAGTGACGTTGACTATCCGATCCTCTGTTTGAAACGTTTGATTCAGATCGTAGGTCCGCTCCAAGTTTTCTTCCACGGACATGTCGTCGTTGCCGCTCCTCTCTATCGATCCTCCTTTTCGTTCGTCGTTTCACCGCGAACTCAACTTTTTACCCGATCTGACTGCCGCGAAAAATTCATGGCTTCCTCGAGGCCTTTGCACGCGGACTAAGCGTCCCATGACTTCATCTCGTCGACTCGCGACTGATTTTCCTCCAGGCTTGATTTACGACCGAACGATTTAACCCGTTCGTTGATCTTCCCGCTGGTTACAGTTCGTTGCTACCTCCTTTCGGACACATTATTCTAGATCCTGAGGAGATTCTTCCAATATACGTATGTAAAGTATCTACGAGAAAACAAGGAGATGGTGAGTTGGTTTGGAAAAAGTTTCTACGGAGTTTCAAGAGGAGGATTCGGCTGGTTTAAAGAGTTTCACGCTTATTTAATTATTCTATCAAATCGGTTTGACGCGATTTTCCGGCTCGATTGAGAGGGAAGATTGCTTTCAATAACAGAAGCTCGTTCTCTACCAACGATCCTGCTCTAGCAAGAGTGGGGAACGCGAGAAATACGAAAGAAGATGTAATTGTCTCGACGAGAACCTGCTTGCTTCGAGCGAGCGATAAAAACGATTGCTCGAGGTAAACAAAACGTGATACACCAAGATGAAACTTTGCGGATAACTGAAGCTCCGTTGAATCGAGGTCGCAGATCAGAGTCGACGGAACCGAATGTATGCAATATGAACGTGACTCCTGAATACGATCGAGCGTGTTTTATAAACCGAGTGAAAGAGGGAGAGGCTAGCCGTGCAGAAAACGAGGCTCAAAGAAATGGAGGAAGTATCACTAATTTGTCCGAGCATTCTCGCCAACAATGAAAACGCAGTTCCATTCACAGAAGACTGTCGAAATCCTATTAAAATCGTCACGCGCAAATACACCGCGTTTTCTAAAGCGACGGGGCAGGCTATTCTTCTGTTGAAAGGATCGATTCCTTTCTTAACGAGCCATCCTATCAGCTCAAAGATCAAAGTTTCTCGTTCCCGAGGCTCTGATAATTGACACCGTCGCTGTTTCAAATCGGGAAAAAGACAGCCTGGAGAACGGTTGTCGATCGTGAACGAAATGCAGATGTATCGTCCTGGCGACATCGAGATCGTAAATCCTTGGACTCGCAACGTGACCGGTTGCAAATGCAATTCTCGCAAATCTGAATTCGCGGAAGAACCCGTTCCAAGTAAACTTAACGTTTCCCTGCTACGTGGGAGCATTTCGTTGTGGCAGGCTTGCATCTCGACTGATCCTTGCGCGAGATCTGAGAACTGGATGTCGCAGAGAAGGAGACGAGCGGTCCAGGAGCCGGTGTATAGAAAATTCTTTATGCACACACGATGGCGAGAACTGAGCAACAGTTTTCCCAATCGATAGTATTTACGAAGAAAATTCCGAGAACGTCAGCGCGGAATCTACTGGGAATTTTAATTAACGAAAGTGTGAATTGTTATTTTGCTGTTGTCGGAAACTAATTAGGCAAACCTATATTTCTCATTTTATAATTTTGCAAAGAGCGTTGTATGTAAAAGTAACGCGGGAATAATGTGAATTTTTCGAGGTTAGCAAGATTTTTCCTCCATTCTCTCGACAAATACGCATCGCGAGTTCAACGCGAAGCAATGAAAACCTGGAGCAACGTTAAAGCGACCTTTGAAACGAAATATTTGTTTTTTTGCCCGGAGAAAAACTCGGTTATTTTTCCGGGAGACATTTCGCATCGGCTGAAATTACATTCGTATCCATGAACGCGGATTTTCCGCGGAAAAATCGTATCGAACGGATGTCTCTCTATTGAAACAGCGTTTGCAGCTTTGACGACGGTGTCATTTCTACAAACAGGCTGAAACCGTTTGGAAAGTTACAAGGTTTGCGAAACAAACTTTCTGCAGCTTTGATCTCTGATCTCTCCGAGAAAAGGAGATATAAAAATAATCCGCCATTTCGCGGAGATCGATTTACTCGATGCATCGGCAAACTCGGTAATGTAAACAGCGGAGAAACGTACGATTGCAAGATTCACGATCGTTTTACACACGGTGAAAAGAGGTATATCGACAAGTTTATCGAGAATTTCCTCCAGCTGGACAACGGAGAGAACGAATGGAAAAGTTGCGACAAAATGTCGAATTCGTTTAAAAATGGAACATACGCGTGTATAGTCTGTTTTCTATAGCTTTTCTCTGCAACTTCCATTCAGAAATCGGCGACATTGTTCGTTTCAAACGGGCTCTCCTTTCTACTCCTGCGAATCAACGTTCGATCGATCACGTTTCATTTTTGCCGGACGCACGGTTCAATTCACAGTCGATGGATTCCTCGATAATGGAAACCTTCTGCTTTTTTACATTTCAACAAATTCTATCGATTACTTTCGTTCAGTTCAAATCTCCTACGTTTCTTCGAGTAGGTTTCCAATGGAACTTCCAAACGATTAGTTAATCCGACGAGACATCTCCGTATCATCTTCAACAATTCCTCCTGGTGAAACAGATTAACTCTCCTATTATGAACGATACTCCAATCACCGATTCCTTCCTTTCGTATGTAACAATACGAAGGATCTATCAGGAAGAGAAACTTGCTCGGGCGAAATGTACAGTGTCATTCTTGGTAGTCGCGACGACGTGTGAGCAATTCATCCCGCAACAGGTTACGTTCTGTTCCCTTTGTGCTCGTTACACCGTTGAAAGAAACTTCTCCGAACGTGAAATACGTCCGCGTAACACGTTTCCCGCGTGGCAGGTGAAATTGAAACGCACGGACGATTCTTCGCGAAGAAGATTGATTCTCGTGCGAACGTTATCCAGGACTTCCTCTCTCCAGCTTCTGGCATCGTTCGAACGGAACAGAAAAGGGAGCTTGCAACGTTGAATCAATTGTCGACCACTTTCCTTTCTACCGTTGCTCCAAGTTTTTAATTCAACCTAGCCTGGATCAACGTCCGCTTTGCGAAACTATTTGAGGAGAGAACGCGGAGAATGCCGCTGCGTTACAATCGCGTTAGTTACCGAGTAATCTCAGCTGAAGTCTCGAGAGGCGAGGGTAATTCGGATCTTAGAGCTTTTTCGCAACGAAAGACACGAATCCGCCACTTTTCATTGCAATGAAAAGAGAAGGAAAAGTGGAGAAATAGGAGAAAAGAAAGGTGGAAAGAATTATTTCTTAGGAGTAATAAAAGTTGTGATATTGGGGAGAGAGAGAAAAGAAATTAGCCAGAGAAACGGAGGAGAACGTTTCGGTGGATTTTTCACCTTCGACGAGGATCCTTTGGGCGTGATATTGGGCAGAGAGAGAGAAACGGAGGAGTACGTTTCGGTGGATTTTTCACCTTCGACGAGAATCCTTTTTTCTTAAGTTCGTAAGTACATTTTTGAATTACGCTGTTTCGCGCGAATTGCCTCGTGCGATTTAGGCAAAAGTCGCGGGACAGAGGGTTGCAATTTTGACGGAGGAAGTGTAGGAGAAGGACGAAGGAGAACCGAGAGGAAGAGTGAAACGGGATGAGAACGAACGAGAACACACTTGCTCGTACGACGCGCCGAACGCGACTGAAGCGGCGGACAAATTCGCGGCGACTCCGCGCTCGCATATACTTACATCTTCGTAGCCGCGATGTTGCACGCGTGTAGGAGTTCGCGAGCTGCGTGAGTACGCATGCGTGAAGAGGATCCTGCCGGACGTAAACGGTACGAACATCGTCGCGGTAATTCGGAAAAGTTTATTGAATTCTTCATTACTGTAGTAGAAATTCCTTCTCTTTCCCCGTTGCAATAATCTTGCTTAAAAGTACAGATACACAGGAGTGAAATAAATTTCATTTTAATCGTTTATTTATTCGTGCTACGAGCTACAAATGTTACATATTTTACCAAATTTTATACTCGTATTATTTATGTAAAATATAATTCGT